CTGAGCAGGGAGCCCGATGCGGGGCTCGATCCCAGGACCCTGGGATCATGACCTGAGCCGAAGGCAGATGCTTAACCGACTGAGCCACCCAGGCACCCCTATCTTCTATTTCACGAAATGTTGCAGTATATTGGTTGTTAGAGTTCAATTTGAAAATTTAAAATGACTGTTGAAAATGGCAGTTGTGTCTGAATCCAAGTAAAGTTCTTTAGTTAATGAATCTCATTCTAAACTATCATTTAAAACGTGTGTGTGTGTGTGTGTGTGTGTAAATAAATAGATTTTTATGTATGGGATTATTTCCTTTTCCTTCCCAGGTTCTCACTCGGGCGAAGCAGCTAGCCAGTCAGAGTGGATGGATGTTCAGAAGAAGATTATCCCCTGGAAAAATAACACTCCAGATTTAGATCTGGAGCTAGTATTTCAGGATCGTGTCGCCAAACTTGGAAAGTCGATTAGCAAACTAATTGTAGTGGCCTCGCTCATTGATAAACCAACTAACTTAGGAGGTAAAATTACAGTTTTCCAGGGGGCTTGCTTAAAATCTTTTGATCCTGAAAATTTGTCATCGGTCCAGTGCCATTGTGCCCATTTTCCTCACTTAACCCTCCTGGGGAGCTGCGGGGGGCTGTGTGGCCATAGCGAGCTGGGCGGAGGACTGCCAGTGGTAACGCGGCCCGTCATGTGCAGGGCTGTGCCGGACCTGCGAGGCGTTCGGGGCCTCGGCGCTCGTGGTGGGCAGCCTGCAGTGCATCAGAGACAAGCAGTTCCAGGGCCTCAGCGTCTCAGCAGAGCAGTGGTTGCCGTTATTGGAGGTGGGTGGAAATATTAGTAAAACGCTGGTTTGCCAAAATCTTCTGCAGTCCTCTGTCTTCTATCAGTCCTCTTGCAGTACTTCATAGTTGTCCAGCCTTTAATAGCTTAAAATAATACTCAAAGGAAAAAATACCCCCCTCTGTTCCCCCGTTGCTTTTATGATCTCTCACATTATTGTATTTTTAGAATTCTATTCTGTAAAATACGTCCTGTTGCAACTCA